AACATTATTGTATTTACATCAAAGAACAATAACATTATTGTATTTACATCAAAGAACAACATACCTATATTTACATTAAGGAACAATAACAATAATTGTATCTACAACAAAGATATGTAATACAAATAAGTACTATTTCAGAAATATTATTCCAATTTTTTTATTTCATTAAAAAAAGCAAATAATAAATTTACATACTATAATATTTCATAGTTCAAAATGAATTTTTAACTGATCATTTCTGATGAATTTTATTTTAAGCTTATGTTCGTTGAAGAATGTTTACTTACGTCTATTTGATCATGTATTTCTTGTTTATTTTAATTTATATTTACAAATTGATTAGCTTATTGTTGCCGCAATTCTTGTTGTTGTTATTGTTATTGTTATTGTTATCTTTGCTCTCATTTAAATTATATCAAAAATGCAAAACTTAGTAATTCTTTTAAAAGGTTTTTTCTCTTTTTTCTAGCAAGTATACATTTTACTATTCAAATCTTTCAATTATTATTTTGATATTACTATCAAAAAATTTTTTTCTGTTACTGATTTTCAGCATTTTTTTGCAAAAAAATTTTTGTCCAATTTATGGTAAATAGTTAAAATGAAAATCTTGGCAAAAATTTTTTGGAATTTTTAAAACTTTAAAGATTTAAAATTCTAAAAATCGTCATTATGATAGCGTAATTTTCGTAGCCTTGAAGGAAAAAAAAACAAAGCAGATTTCGAGTATTAGCTGTGCAAATAAAACAATAAATAAACAATAATAATAGAAGAAAAAACCAATAAATGGAGGAAAACATTATCCAATTATTAGAACACACAACTTCTGTCACATAAAATTGTTATGAGACAAGTATTTTCATCCGGATGCCATAAACGGGCCATGTGTGTGGCATCATTTCTCGTCGAGTCTGTTTTCCGTCAGTTTCTTGTCTCTCTCTCTCTTTCTCTTTGTCTCACGTCATTATGTACGTGTTTGTATCTAATCCTTTGATTCATTAACTGAACAAAGAGGCTTAATCAATCATAAGAACGCTTACAGATTCAATGGTAAATATGTAAGTTTACGCAGAAATTGACGGATAACAAGAAAAAACTAGAAAAGACTTCTTGGTTTTCTCGGGAAAACTCTTGAGGAGCTTTGTCTTCACTCTGAAACCTCATGACGTTAGATTTTAAGACGTCTCACTTGCATTTCTTAGGAAATTTCATGGGTATCAGATGTGTAATTCTCAGGTAATCTGAATTTTATATGGATAATTCTTCTGTATCTCCCGGAAAACTATTTTTATGTGAAAAAGAAAAAAGAAATTTTCTAACTTTGTTGTTTTTGAACAGAATATTATGAGTAGACGGGATGTTTTTACGATTGTTAAGATGGGAGATTAATTCGATCCGATGAGCGTAATGTTTTTGCCACCGTCTACCTATGCGATCTTATTGTTTCTATTTAATAAAATTGGTAGACCTGAAATGCGAAAATTCCTTTGCTGTTTATTTCTGTTTAAATGATCAGCTGAACATATTTAGATTCAGTTAATAATGACAAAATGGATACTTAACAAAATCAGTAAATCGCCGTTTTTCCATAACTTCTGGAAGCTGTTGGCTTCTGGCTTCGCTAAAACAAAAATATAACGTAGCTCTGAGCGATAGAATAATTCTGATGATCCATTGACATTAACTACTATTGTCTTTCAGATTATGTTGCCTTACATTCACTTCCCAAAACGTTTTGCACCTTTGCCGCGGTACTTTGGCATACGTCATGAGTCATCGACTACACCCGCACCAGGCCGTATTTATTCACAGAGACAGTTATTTGAAGTGAAAAAGACTATGATGAGGGTACTTGTTCATTTTACTTGTAACGACACTTCCTGAATTAATTAGATTTCAAGCCGGATAATCTTCCCACTGCGATGGGTAATATTTGGTTCGTATAGGCTTAACAACTGTACTAATTAGTGTTTTTGGCGTTCCAAGCTACAGCGCTTGAATTATATATGGACTGTCCAGTAATTCGAGCAGTAAGACACTGCATCTCTTTGTTTTTCATTTCGCTGTTGTGACTGGGAAAATTTAAAATATATTGTGACCGTATGCTTTGAGTTTTGAAAATGAAATAATTTGAAGTCGAATTACCAACTGATAACAACTATTCAGGCTAATAATCCTGAAAAATATGCCCTAGCATCGGATTTCTTGGCACACCGGGCTGATCGACCAAAAGACTACAAACCAGACGTATCTGCAGGTATTTTTTAAGTCCTCTTGGATAAAATGTGTATCGCAACCACTGGAAGATAGTACATCTACGGAGGGCAGTATAACTGTTTAATAACTTTCTGAAATGATATATCTGTTTAATAAATATAACTGTTAAATACCACCATCTGAATAACTCAAATGGTTATTTTGTTAGTTTCTTTCTTTCCTTCCTTTTTTTTTATTGAGAATGTTAGTTCACAGAGACGATTTTTGTCTAGAGAAATATTTTTTACATTCTTCATTTTCTTCTCTCTTTTGGTATTATTTGCCTTTAAGTTTCAGAGCTAACCTATTTATATGATTTACAGATCGAATCATCAGCCCTTCTCCACAAGAGAAAAGACTTCTCGTTCTAACTGGAATGTACAAACGTGAGTCGGATATTCCGGAATTTATCAGGTACTAAAAAGTTTTGATTATATTGTCAGTATTTTCATGGCAGGGAAGAAACAGCTTAAAAAAGAATGAAGAAAGGGTATGGGAGAGAACTACTTAAGACCATACAAGATGATCCCCAGAAATAACAGTAATAATTATTTGCTACTGGAGAGCAGTGCAATATGCTAGGTTCCTTTGAATGAATGAAGATATTTATGGGAATTTTGTTACGCCGAATGACCTGACTGATTTCTAGTTAATTTTCTTATAGATTCCAAGTTCTTTTTGCATATTTCAGTGAGGTGCGTATTGCAATGATGAAGGAGCGTCTGAATTTTATGGTATCAATTTTCTGCTTGGCAACACTGATTATCGCATTTTTGACGACGATAAAGACAATGTATCGCACAATGACTATAGCAGTGGGCGATTCTTGAAATATTTGTAAGATCATGTCAGCGAGTTGATAGAACCTACAATGCTGTTGTAAAAACTACTTGTTTTACGTGGTGCTTTTTTGTATTGTCACGCAGACTTGGTAAACTAGGAAACATAGTTTTTAATTACTTGCTTTTTCATTATTTGGCCTAGAATTTTCAAGCACAAATCCTAGGCGGTGTTAGAATTTTATTGGATTTTTGTAATAACTGAGATTTCTGGATGTGCATTTGCAAAATTCTGACAGTAAAATTTTCAATGTTAATTTTTTGTTATTTGGTAAAAAAAAGGAATCTACTGACGCATTATTTATATTTATGGTCGCTGTAATTTCCAACTTTTTATTATAATTCATTTGATTAGTTATAAATGCGTGAATTTTGTCACTCACAGCATGTACGCTATATATAGGTTTTTCGAAGACTGTAATTATTTGTAGGTTATTTTATCTTATAAATATCTCGCTTTTAGATTTTACTAAGCTTGCACTTTATCTCCTGCACCGATAAAGTCACTTTCATATCATTTCCCTGCTTAATGTACTTGATAGCGTTAAGTTACTAGTAAGACTACGAAACTAGATCTGAAGGAACATAGCAGCCTTTGGTCCCGTTCGTAACCAACTCTTCATTTCGTACAAATCTATATTTGAGGTAAATCATCATCTTGTAGGAGCAACTATTCTCGAAATCATTGAGCAATTTTGTTTACTTCTCTTATATTTGTACCCTGCGGCGTTGTTTGTGTACAAAATCTCAGAGCAAAAGTGTGGAAAATTTTCTGTTCATCTGTTCACAACATAAGGTCTTAGTGATGTCATTTCATTTCATTATTAAAGATTGTCGCAGTGTCTTGCTGTAAACATTTTTTAATTAAAGTTTATAATCATTGCATTTCACTAATCGAGCAATCATACTGGAAATAAACATAGTTCTCTTTTATCAACCGAAAAGCTGGATTTTGCAATCCGGACAGGTCTATAACTGGTCTTCATATTACAGGAATATTTTGCGTAGTAATGCAAATCTTAATCTAGAAGTTAGAATAAGCTGACGACTTTAGAGGATGAAATAGGAATTCGTCATCGATTTAAAATACTATGTGAATTTTGGCAAATTGGTAAATAACTTTCCAACGAATTTTTCGAAATCAATGTAATGCAAATTTTGGATTTGCAGGGAAGGAATTGAGAAGTATGGACAGGGTAACTGAGTAGATGAATTTCAAATTTTAAAATGTAAGCTTGTGATTTGGAATTTATTGAAGCCAAGACTGGTGATATCAAGTTGCAGAATTTTGGTAATTTTAAATACTTTTTAAAGGTTAAACTTTTGATCTGCAATATCTGTACATCAACTTCTGGAAATGCATCATGACGTAATCGATATTAATCATTATATACTTGAAAGAGGTTTTATGCAAATGTTCCCCATTGTACATCCATTATTTTATCAGCTTATCATTATGAAGGATTACAAACTTTGGTGGTTGATAAAATTTTGAAATATTTATTCAAGCATACGAACTTCCCAACAAATACCTCGATAACTTCTTCGGAAAGTCTATTTGTGATTTTATTATTCCCATAAATTAATTTCCGGCAAATATTCAAGTATAAAATAACAATAAAACAATTCGAACATTAATATTTCTTTTTTTTTTCCAAAAAATAGTTTCATAAAAATTGTTCCTGATATATTTCATCTCCATTTATTATTTTGTAATACTGAAACATTAACAGTAGCAGCTTGTTGTAAAAGCAAATTACTTTTAAACATTTCACAAATTTAAATCAAATAAAAATTTACGAGATTATTAAGTTTCTGTTTGCAAAAAAAAAAAAAAAAGCTAATTCTTTAAATTGTGCAAAAATTTTTAAAATTAGTCATTGAAAGAAAATTATTTCTAATTTTTCCATAAATAAATTTCACTTTTATTATGTAACAAAACTGGAAAAAGGTAATATTACCATCAATGATGATGAAACAATTTCTCAAATGCATAATACCAGTTTTGCAATAATATCCATTTGTGTGTTGATTTTATTTTCTTTTAAAATTTTAGCATAATCATAAAAATGGCGAATATTAATAATTTTAAATAAAATAATAAAATATGTTAGTGAGTATTAAAGGTGATAACTAATTACCTGTAATAAGTTATAGTTGGAATTTTTGTATGAAATTAATAGAAAGTTATGGGGATAAAATGATTGATGCATGTTTGGTAGTTATGAAGTTTAAGATAAAATTTTTGAAAAGCTTTTTTTTTTGTGAAATTATTTGAAAATTTCTATTAAAAAAATTGGTTTCAAATTTTCACAACATTAAATGATTTAACAATTCAAAGATTAAATTTGTTTAATTCAAAGATTAAACAATTCAAATAAAAATTTGTAATTGCAAATCAATCGCTGAATGATATTTGAAAAAATAATTTAGCAATAATTGATTTTAGCTAAAATGTAGGAGCAATTAGAAAAATGAATTGATAAGGATAATAGTAGATAATGATAAAGATGGAAGATCGAAGTATATATCGTATCAAAGAGCAAATGGTTAATTAGACTAATTGTCAACTAATCAGATTATTTCCGAGAGAGAGAGAGGGAGAGAGAGAGGTGCAGAGGGAAAATGGAACAGAGTAATCTAAATTGGCATGTAAATTGTAAACATTTTAATTTTAAATTTCAAAATTTGCATCTTTGTAACAATTTTTTACGAAATACCTTTTCAGTATTGTTATAGTCATGAGGGAAAAAAATTACAAATAATTTAAGAGCTCAATCTATAAGCCTAGTGATATGTAAGCTTAATGATATAAAAGCCTAGCGATATGTGAGTTTAGTTTAGGAGAGCAATTTTTGTGGTAGATGATCAAACGATCATTTTGACGATTTTGGAAAATGTGACAAAAAAATGTGACGAAATTATTGGTTGTGATTTTTTTTTTCAGTTAGAAAAAAATTGTAGTTAAAGTTATTTAAATTGAGTCATTTTTAATTATTATCCAATAGAAAGCAAGAAAAAAGGAGAGAGAAAGAGAAAGAGAAGAAGGTATATAAATGGTTATAGGTAAAATGCTAATTAATTTAATAAAAGTAAAAGTTAAAAGCAAAAAAAAAAAGGTGAAAAATGTTTTGTTGAATAAAAATAACACATTTAAGTGAGGAAATGAATTAAATACTTTAATTAATTATTGCAATTCATATTTACCAAACAGCTCTCTTCCTATAAATATATATATATGTCGCATTAATTAATTAGGCACCAATTTTCGTCCTTTTCATTTAAAACTAAAAATTAAAAATAAACAAAATAATGTGAACAACAAATCATGTTAATACCAATTGAAACGGAAATTGTTCCATTTTAAACAAAATAAAAAGTACTTTTTTTTTTAAGATTTTAATTTAATTTTTAACGATTGCCTTGAAAAGTTAAATGTAATTAGAAATTGCCTTCAGATATTTAAAAAATTTAATGGTCAAAATGAAACAGGAAGAAAAAGGAAAGTGGCAAAGAACCATTTTTTTTTTTTTTTCTTCTTCTCATTGATCAAAATTTTTAACCGAGTCATATCATTTCAAGAAGATGAAAACGAACAAGTTTGTCAATTTTATCAACTCAAGCAGGAATAATTCATGGGAGAAAGAAAAAAAAAAAGTGAAATGTAATTCTTTTTTTTTTTTCTATTTATTGATGATGTAATTTAACAGGAAAAAAAAAGAAAATTATCATGAAATCATTCTATTTCATTAATTATAAAGCAAATGTTTTTATCAATTTTATTTAGAAAAATTGCAAACGAATCAATTTGTTATTAATTACTGTTAAAAGCTATTAAACTTTAAATTTTTATTTTGATGCTTTCTTTTCATTCTTCATGATAGAGTTATGTTAGCATAAAAAGATTTGCGCAATACAGATATAATATGGAAAAGTAATAATTCAAAAATTTTATCCTAAATAAATTGATTGACAATAAAGGTTTCAATTTCAGTACATAATCCGGAAACAGTAACTCGTTTAAAAAATAGTTAATTTAATTTTTTTTTCTTTTTCATAATCCAAAAAAAAAAGAAAAACTAAAAGAAGAAGCAATAAGTATCAGTAAGAATAGTACTTACCTTTATGATGATATTTTGAAATCAAACTTGCTATTACCAGCGGTTGGCCCGCAGACTACTGTTCCGCAACGCAAACAGATGTTCCGCAACAACCTTAAAATGTGCTCCAAGAAAGCGGCAATGCGATGAATCCAAGTTTAAATTATATATTGAAAATTTTCATTAAAGCTGATTTTTAAACTAACAAATAATTTATAATTTTTAAATTTTTTAGTACCTACTAAGAAATAAAAATTTAAAGTGATCTTCGGTTAAAAAAAAAGTTCGAAAAAAAAATGAATGAAAATAATAATTGTATTGAGAGATAAAATTTTATTTTAAATTAAAAAATTACAAACAAAAAAATTTTTTTTTGAATGAAAAATTGCATTTAAAAGATAAGAAATTTAAAAAAGAAATAATTTTCAATATAGGATAAAAAGTTTGTATTGCTAGTATAATTCAGTTAAAAATTAAAGATTTTTTTTAAAAAATGTTTTAGAAAAAATTGAGAATAAAAGATAGAAAATTAAAATTAAACAAAAAGGAATTTTTCTTTTTTTTTCACCCTGGCAATATATATATATATATTACTTAATGAATCATCGTTCTATCCGTAATTCGAAAATAAATAAATAAAAAATTAATATGTTTCGTATTTAGAAATTATTATTCACTATATCATATTTCCATTTTTAATTGCCTCATAATTTAATGGTTAATTTTTATAACTTCAAAATGGAACTAATTTAAATGTCAATTATTTGCCTGCTATTATAATTAATAATTTAATTTAAAATTCACAATTAGCTATGTTAGAATTTCAAAATTTTATCATGCCTTAAAAAAAATAAATAATTTGACAAGTGTAAACAAGGGAAAGGGGAAAGAAAGTAAGAAAAAAGAATAAAACTATATATCGTTAATGTGATAATTATGATAATAATCTATGCAAGCATTAAAAATTTTGGATAAAATTTGTTAGAAGTTGGCCAGATAAGCTATAAATGAATTTGTTTAAAACTGAACAAGTAAACTGTAAGTAAATTTACTTAAAACTGAACAGGTAAGCTATAAGTAAATTTACTTAAAGCTGAAGAGGTGAACTATAAGTAAATTTACTTAAAACTGAACA